GGCCTGCGATTGAACTGCTGATATTCAGAGCTGTGTCAACTTTTTATTTTTCCTTTGTTGCCATGGCAACACTGATTGCATCGTTATCAGCATCTTTTACATTTATCATTCAGAGTTTGGAAAAATAACAAAAAGCTTTTGCTTTATTGATCATTTTGAAGGTTTTTAGATTTTTGTCAACATGCTTTTTAAATCGAGTCTGTCGTATTTTATTTCCTCACAAGTTGTAATTTTACGAAATCTTCCTCACTTTTAACACCATCTGATTTGTTGCACATGTGTTTAGAGGGCAGTAACAGCTCCTTCAGTTGCAAACAGATGTGTGTTTACGTGAAAGCCTGCATTTGCGTTCACACACTCCCCCTCAAAAAAAATTCTTTGTTATTGCAAGCAATGCTACAAAGCAAAGAGCTCCATTTATGGCACGCATTTACAATTTATCAAATAAATGTGATGCCTTCATGTGGCCTGGGCCTGCCTTTCAGGCAGAGCAGAGTAGTTTTCCACTGGAATAACAGCCGCTGAACAAGCAGCCCATTGTAGCTGCAGCCAGCACCGGGACCCCCAAGGTGCGAATTAATGATTGACCCCTGATGTAATCAGGATAAATAGCTCCCCATTAAAAAAAAAGAGAGAGAGATGGCCAGACGAACAGAGAGAGAGAAAGAACAACATAAGGAACCAGGGAGAGGAAGACACTATCTGGCCTGTGTGTTTGTAAAGAACCCCACGGGGAGGCGGACCTAACATCTCTTTCTGGCTCATCGGAGACTCAGAACTAACACACAGCTTTTTAAAAAATGCTCCGTCATCAGTAGTTAGGTCCTTCTTTGTTCTAGACATCTTCTTCTTGCCTCCTTTCAGTATTTATCTGCTTTTTATCCTGTATGTTTATTAATTAAAAATGCAAATACGGTTTGTTTTTATTTCAAACTTCTGTGCAGAAATATTTTTAATTTCCACTTTTTTAAAGGTGTGGAACACGTGTTTAATCAATACATTTGCAGTGGTCTCTAGTAGGAATGAATGCCTTGTAAGTCAGACTCAGGGGGCAAGAAACACCGGTGCACCATTTCCAGGAAGTAGAAGTGAGCCACGTCACAGCTGAGCTCCAAACGGCAGGATTTGGAGTCTTATTTCCTGGTATTACGACATCTGTTGGATAAGAGCACCATGACTCTACCACTGACTTGCAACTTAGATGTTTTATCTCCCTGGAGGAGTTCTGCTATGTTGTGAAGTTGCTAATTCTAACAGTTAGCTTCTACTAGTTGAGACATCCTCTGCTGTTTCCTGGATGCTAAACCAACAACAGCCTACCCCGTCATGAAGATGGTTTGGTCCATGAATGTTAATTACAGATCTGTCAGGCTTTTCTAATCCTAAAGTGTCACCGTCTATTTTCTGTCAGAAGCTAATGCAGGAGATAGGTGTAGGAGACTATTTTCATGTTCAGCCTGCATGAAAAATTCAAAGTGACCGATTATAATCAGAAACAAAATTTAAAAATTTATTTTTCAGAGTTCCACATCTTTAATATTTTATCCAAGAGAAAATATTTTGTTCATTTCAATCAAGTTTTTTGTTCTTAATCCTGCAGTTTATTACAGTTTATTTGATGTAGCAATCTGCATTTGCGTGTGTGCACAGAGGCCCCAAAAGTGACAGAATTTAATAGATTTTCCAAGCCTGTCTCTCTGCTTGTCAAAATTGCTCTCAATGGGTCAAGTGCCAGTGAGAGTTGGGGAATGAAGAGAGGGAAAGTAAGTGAAAGAAGTGTTTAACATCCTGAGAACACTTGCTTGTGTGGAGGGAGCAGCAGATAGAGCCGAGTTATAAAACTTTAATTGATCTGTGTAAAGAGTGGAAGCTACTGCTGGCTCGCTTCCTCCAGTGCTTAATTGCATGCCTGGTCTGAAACTTTACAGAACAACAATCATTAAAGAAAATGTGTTCTTTTCCATTCAAAATCGCTAAATGACGCAAAATCGGCCATAAAAACACTTTTACTTTTACTGCATTAGCTTTATGTGATAAGTTTCCTGATCTTGTGCAGAAACAATGCAGTTTTCTGCAGGATATTAAACACTCATGTCACACTTTGCACATATGTAATGTGCTTGTGTGAGTTAATAGCTGACATTCAGCAAAAAACGAAACTGAGGATTGCATCGTCAAATTAAAAACAGGAACATTTTATCTTATTTAAAAGAGTTCCTATTTGTCTTTTGTTTCAATGTCAATGAAGTTTGAACTAAATATTCACCACTGTACAATAAACATCCATGCACTAAGCAAGCAAATATTGCATTACATTGCAGTTTGGGTGAAAAGCAGAACAGCAGCAGGCCTTACAGCGAATCAAATGAAGGCTAAAAGAAAAAGCTTGATTGGAACCACTCGTGCTGTAATTTTAGGCCTAGTTGGACTGCTGATTGCCAGTGCCTGTGTTTATTTAGTAAAACTCTACTGGTGACACTAGAGTCTTTCTGAAGAGCAAACAAAGAAGAAACATATGGACGTGCTGGAGTAAACAAACATTTGTGAATAAAATAGGATCGGGTGTCAAACATTTCGACTTTGTTGGTGTTCTAACAAAAACTGTACACTAAGTTTTAAGTTTAAAGACCAAGTTCATTGAGAAATAGTTGTTTTAGTTTGTTGTTTATTAAATATGATCAATCACTCAGAGTTTCACATGCAGGTTTAATGTGAAAACGGTCTTTCTACTAATATTTCCTGCATCAGCCATTGATAGAATATGGACAGGGAAACTGTCGGGTCATAAAAAGCCACATAGATCTACGTCACAGTGAAAATTAGCATTCATGGACTCACTCACCTTGACTTGCAATAGGGAACGCTGTTGCTGATTTTTGCATCCAGGAGAGAGCAGAGTGTGTCTCAGTTAGTAGAAGCTAACTGTTGGTATTAGCAACACCTCAACATACCAGAACTCTTTCAGCGTTATTCATGCAGATAAACCATCAACGTTCCAAAGCGACCTGTTGTTTTCTCCCCCTCTCCTCCGACTAACTTCTACTTCTAGAAACAGGAGCGCCAGAGCTCCCCCCCCCCCCCCCCCCCCCAACAAAACGACCCACAGGGCATCGATTTACACTAGATACCATTACAAATGTATTAAGTAGAGGAGTGAATGAGAGCTTTCAAATAAGTTATGCTTTCAAACAGGTTTTTTACATTGGAGTGACTTTTTCAACCAGTCGATCCATGTACTTGATTTTCCTTTTATTGTTTATTTTAAAACGTACCCATTAGAATAACATAACTGCAGTCCTTGGAATAAAAATATTGAACAAACTCTAGTGTTGGTTCTGTTTAAGAATGAAAACCTTGGGGTAATTTCAGCACCAGAGGTAATGGGAAGGCAATAATGTGCCAGATGTCACATATCACTCACCTAAATGCATTTGCACACGCACACTTACAAACTTTCACTGTCCACAGTAATTTCCTTAATAACACACTGAGAAAATGTGGCTGGAACTTAAAGCCAGAAGTTACATGCATCCATGCACACGCGCACACACACACACACACACACACACACACACACACACACACACACACGCGCACACACACACACACACACACACACACACACACACACACACACACACACACACACACACACACACACACACACACACACACACACACACACCCCTCTTCATCGTATTCACTAGGACCCCAGGGTGCAGCCACAATCATGTTGACTATTCTTGGCTGTTGGACTAATCATGTGAGGTGACGAGACTAACCAAGTCAGTGATAGAAAGAATCATTATTTGTAAGATGAGTCCTGGCGGGACACGGCGACCATGATGACATGGAGAACTGTTCCCATCATGCACTTGGCCAACTTTTTCTCTCTTTCTACATCTAGCTGTGCATCTCTGCCAACCCAGTGAAGTAAAGGGTTCCTACTGAAAACCATGCGTGTTTATTTCATTCCTCGTTTTTTATTGCAAACTGAAATTCTCCAACAAGTAAAGATTAACTGAACAGGAATTTAAAGTAGTTTCACGTTTTGACGCCTGTGCTGCGGTGGTCCCGGTGTTCTGGAACATTCTTCCTTTCTAATAAACTGTGCACGCATTGTTGAGACTGAAATTAATTGCTTTGCCATTTGATTTAATTTAGTTGTTTCTTATTTGGTCTTGAGTCAGAAAAGGGTAGAGTGCCTTCTCCGGGTCAGGATGAGGTCCTGCCCCAAGTGGAGGAGGTTAAGTATTTTGGGGTCTTGTTTACAAACGAGGGGAAGATGGATTGGGAGATCGACAGGGTGACTGGTGCTGTGTCTGCAGTGATGCGAACACTGTAACGATCTATTGTGGTGAAGAGAGAGCCGAGATGGAAGGCAAGCTCTCGTTTTACTGGTCCATCTACGTCCCTACCTTCACCTATGGTCACGAGCTAGTACTGGTAGAGACCGAAAGAATGAGATCACAGAGACAAGCAGCTGAAATTAGTTTTCTCTGCAGGGTGTCTGGTCTCTCTGTTAGAGACAGGGTGAGAAGCTTGTGCATCCGGGAGGGGCTCGGAGTAGACCCACTGCTCCTCCAGAGGAGCCAGTTGAGGTGGCTCGAGCATCTGGTTATGATGCCTCCTGGACGCCTCCCTGGTGAGGTTTTCGGGAGAAGACCTAAAGGAAGACCCAGGACAAGCTGGAGGGACTATGTCTCTCAGCTGGCCAGGGAGCACCTTGGGGTTCCCCTGGAGGAGCTGGCCCATGTGACTGGGGAGAGGGAAGTCTGAGCTTCTCTGCTTAGGCTGCTGCCCCAGCGACCCGACCCCGGTCAAGTGGATGACAGTGGATGGATTGATTGTTTTTTATTTTGCTTGGTTTAATCCTCCTTATTTTGAATGATTTTCACATTTAAAAATAGTTCATTTATTCTAATTCAAGTCCTTTAAACGAGTTTCATTAACAGTGCTTCTGAAGTGCATCTTTTAAAAAGTGCATCTTTGCGTCCTAGATGACACTGAACCGGTGGACAGCATGTACGACGCAGAAGCCGACCTCCCGGGCGTAGCAGCCGGCAGAGATGGTGCTGACAGCCCAGAAGACGACGCAGAAGACGGCCTCATCAACATGTCCCCTCTGCCCTCACCGACTCCATCCCATCCCAACAACAACCACCACCTGCTGCACCCTCACATCTACACGTCGCACCACCTCCACAACAGCAGCAGCAGCAACGACCAGGACTTCACCACACCCAAGGAGGGCTCGCCCTACGAGGTGCCTGTCTACATTCCTGATGACATTCCCATTCCCAGTGAGCTTGAGCTGCGGGAGTCCTCGGTGCCCGGTGCTGGCCTGGGCATTTGGGCGAAGACCCGCATCTGCGCTGGCGAGAGGTTTGGTCTGCACAACGTAAAGCATCATGATGCCACAGGCAAAGACGGCTCCTTTGGATGGGAGGTGGGAAAAATTATTGATGGTGTAATTTTGTGTTTAACTTCAGATTTTCTCATCCAGATTATTCTGAGGTCCTTTTTTTTTGTGAGACAGGAAGTGAAGCTGCAAATGAGGAAAGGAGAGATTTTAAAGAGCTCTTCATTCACATTTTGAACCATCACCGCTGATACTCACAAGCATACATCTTATCATCATTCCATTTGCATCGCCTTTATGACTTGACCCCATCGTTGATCCCTAGACACACACACACACACACATAGGCACACCCACACAAATACACAGTACACTTCTTCACGTCAGCGCCGTAATGTCAGATGGAAAAATCTGGCTGATTAGTGGAGGTATCAGCTTTTATGGGCGTCGGTCTGAAGCAAGCGCACTCATTTGGTCACGCCATCTGATATGGAAATGGAAGAAGCGTGGCCCAGTGTGGTGGCGGCATATTGAACTATTAATTTTCATTTCAACATGACATTAGAGGATATTGAAGTTGCTTCAGTAAGCTCATTTAGGGGAAAGAGAAACTCCTGGTCTCTGTCTCTCTCTGTCTCTGTCTCCGTTTCTCATGCGCCAAATCAGAGGTGAAATGTGCTGGCCTGCTTTTCATTTCACAGACTCCTTGACTTTTTTTGTTTTTAGGAGGTCGGTTATTCACATCGTCTCGGGTTACATTTGCAAGTTAGGAGTAGAAACCCTAATCATTTTGAGCAGAGCTCTGTAAATATGTGATGCCCTCATATTAAAGAGTAATTTCAAATCAACAATTTACAATACAAATATTGTACTGTTTGATGCAATTTAGCAAAATATGTTAATGACATTTGATAAAAAGTAATAATTATTAGGATGAAGTACCAGAGATGGCAGGTACTGACAGCAAAAAGGCAAATAAAGACACTTCCTGCCTCTTCTAGAGGGGAGGCGCTAAACTAATGGTGGTGGTGTGTGGTGGTGTGTGTGTGTGTGTGTGTGTGGGGGGGGTGGGGGGGGGGGGGGGCTAGCTACTCTAGTTAGAGAGGTACATTTTTAAGATGAAATTGCAAATAAGTATTTCAAATTTTAGTGTGTATGTACAATTAAATGACATGTAACTTCATTTAAAAAATACAGCATTTAGATATTTTGCTGTCTGTCTTGGTGATATGAAACTTTTCCTCTCAGTATCTCTGTTCCACTTCTGATAAATGTATTTATGCATGTTATTTCTACATGGTGCAGTGGGCAAAGTATCACAAAATATCAGAACTTATTATTTAGGCTCTGCCATCATGGTAGGGGGTCCAAGGTTGTTGTGAGGTTGGCACTGGCTCACCTAAACCCCCTCTAGAACAGCCTCTGCAAAGTTCTGTGAGTCATTTAACTTTAAGAGAAATGTTTTATATTGGAAGGACTTAATTTAATTTACACTTACCATTAAGGGTAACATTTTATTAAATCTCTCATAGACAAGGTTTTAATGAAATCTGACAGCGCTCTTGACATAGTTTAATTTCTACAAACTCTTATTTTACTCAGTTTTCTTTCCTGCACTTGTGTATGCAGGCAATTAAAGTACACAGGCACACGCTTAGTGGCCGCACGCCAGGTTGAACATTTTCCTTTTAAAAGTTCACATTATTGCTGGCCTTTTGGGGTGTACGGGGCTTCCCTCCAAAAACTACACCCTGACCAACGCTCTGATGTTTTTGCTCAGTTTTCTTGCTCCTTTTCCATTCCTCCCCAGACGCTCAGCTAATTCATATTCACAAGCTAAGCTGTAGCTCTTTGGCTTGTCAGAAAAGGCCACCTTCAGCCTTAAAGATCCAAACAAGTGTCCTGGCATGCACACTTTCCCCAAAGAGGGAGATGTTTAGTCCAGTTTTACTCAGATTTTTGCCTATTTTAGGGACTTTTATAAGATTGTGGAAACGTTGATCTCCATCAGGTGCATTAGTAGTTAGGTTCCACTTATAGGGAACGTCTTTGGTATTGGGAGCACAAAAGAAGATCCATTGCTTACTTTTTCTGTCTTCTCCTGAATTTGAAATTATCATTGGAAGTCTGAGGGTGCCTCAGACCCCCCCACCCAAAAAAAATACCCTGTCTGGTTCCAGTCTGGAAACCTTCAGAGACTCTCCTCTCTCAGACTCTTATCACAGATAGTCATAACAGTCAGGGTGTTGATAGTCATCGAAAGACTCCCTGAGGAGCTGTGTAAAGCCCATTTTTCTCCCCTCACACCATCAGCTCCTCCACTCATCTACTGCCCCGTTCTTAGACAAATAGACGAGAGAGAGAGAGAGAGAGAGAGAGAGAGAGAGAGAGAGAGAGAGAGAGAGAGAGAGAGAGAGAGAGAGAGAGAATTACAATGATATAAGGGCAAAACATAATTTTTGAGGACTAACATACAATCCAAAGATATTTTTCGACTAATTGCTTACCTAAAAATAATTAGAGGGAATTGTGTATCAAAATAGATCGATGTGTTTTAAGGGATAACAAATGGAGTTATCCCAGATTCCCTTGGAGTATATACAGTCATATCTGATGAAATATCACGTATTTGACTGTTTTAGCCCTTCTGGGAATGAGCAGAATTAACCTGTGTTGAAATGAATTATTTCAGTGATTAGCTCTTTGCAACTGTGCTTCCAAGTAATTAAAAAGTTCTATTTTAAAGTGATGATGTTAAGTAAAAACAATTTCTTCTGAACTTCTAGTCTTTTAAACCACTTATTGATGACTACTTCCTTTTGGGTTGACTGGGTTATCTATAAGAGTTGCTTTCTTATGCAGAAAGCAAACAGAAACGTACTTCAGCGCTATTGACTGTTCTTTTGTAGATTGCTTTTCTTCAACTTGCGAAAGCTTTTTCATCTTGGTTTTCTTAGCAACAACCAACTCAAACCGGTGGATGTTTTAAGGCTTTCTGGAGACCTAAGTGAGAGCGCAGATTGGCGAAGAGAACCCCTGAATAAAGAGAGAGTGAAAGCGTAGGAGTGACAGAGAAAGAAGAAGGGGAAAAGCAGAGAGGAAGTCGACTATTGTCTGTCCTGGGGCTTAGGGAACTGGCAGAGGTGTTAACTCAGGCTCATTTTAGCAAGACGGACAGCTCAATCTGAGAGCTGCTTTGCTGCAGGCCATGGCCATTCTCCTCTGTCTCAGACGCCCTCTCTGGGCATGCACTGAGTCGTCCATTTAAAAACCATTATGCCCCCCTTTAGCACAACATGATAGAATGCCAGGGCCCCCAGTATTCCACGTGTGTGTGTCTCTGGTTGTGTGTGCAGGACTGCTAACCCCTCAGGATAGGAAGGCCCTAGCAAGCCAAGAAAGGCAAGGCCCACAGGGAGTACAGAGAAGGGATCTTGGTGTCAGAGTGACTGCTGCTATTATCTGGGTGGTAGATTGGCCTGACTTGTCTATTGATAGAGGCATGTCATCATATAGTGACTGGAGGTATTTGGACTTCAATGATTGGCACTGAGTGGCCTCACTGATCTGACCTTTCTTGGCAAAATTAAGTGCAATCTGCAGATGTCCAGTTGATGCACGCCAGACTACTAAACATGGTGCATTTGTAGGAGTACCTTAGATAAAATAAATATCACAATACTCAAAAGGTTAAAGGGAAAGCATTTCTTTCTAAATCATAGAATAAAAACAAATCAAACGTTGGTTTCTTTTCTGAACATGTTAAGTGATGACATGAACAAGTCCTCTCTAAGTGATATAAATTGTTTGTACGCCTAACTTGTGAACTCTGTGTGTATCTTTGAACTTCTGAATCATGGCTCTTGAAACTCCTCCTACATCTTTTGTCTTTCCTCTATCTTTAGCCTTTCCGCCTTTAGAGCTTTTTTACAATAACTGAAGGTCATGCATGAAGCAGAAAGACTCACTAGCTGTAATATGATGGTGGCACTTCCTTGGCAGTTTTACAGAACTGTTGTATAAATGTTGTAAAACAACTTGAAGTAATTGAGTTCTTGTCATTTTTATAAGCAAATTAGAACAAAGACAAGTTGTATTCAACTTAGAGATTATCATGTGTGTAGAACCTTTTGAACGAGGTCATCATAAATTCTCCAACATACAGAATCCCTGAGTCCATGTCAGCCCTGCAGACATGTCTGCATGTTTGAACTGTGGACCTTGGGATGACTTTGTTGTTAGGCAAAGTTCCATCTAACTGTCCCTCATTCTTTGTGGTGTTTACTTTCTGTGGGGTGATTTTTCATATCAGTATCATTCATTCAGCGATGTGTGGAAAGGGTGAAAAGAATGCTAGCTCGTCTTTGTGGCCAGATGTTGACTTAGTGATAGGGTAAGATGTCTGGCGGGCACTCTCATGTCACCCAAGTCCTACGTGACAGATATCCTTCAAGACGTGGCATGATGTATCTCCATCACTCTCCACCCGACACCTCACTATTCACGCTGATGTCATGTTTCTTTTGTTCAAATCTTTATCACCGAACTTGGCAAAGGTTCTCCAAGGTTTAAAGAGAATAACTCCTGGCGCACCCTGACACGTATCTGTCCTGACCCACCTTTGCATCCCAAAGTGTTTGCTCACCTTTTGTGTTTTGTCTTTGAAGGGTAAATGGCCAAGCTTTTGTGCTGCAAGTTATTCTTATAAGGTACTCAAGGTACAGCTTGAAACTTGTCTGTTTGCCTATGTCAAAAAGTGTCCTTTATCTTGATTTTTATTACAGTGACTTAATCAAGACTTGAAGAGTTAAAAAAATACCCAGAAAAATCTGAAAATGTCATTAAAGCCTGGACAGCACTGCACGTTTTTCAGCTGTCGCACAGGACTCCAATAAGGAACTCCAGAAAGATGGCACTTGGTCCAAGATTTAAGTGAGCCAACATGCACGACATCTTGCTCTAGCACGACATGCTAACTTCATGAGCACACCCCATTATATACATATGTCAGTAAAAGCCAATAGCTAACCAAAACATCCATCCATGTTCTACACCCACTTATCCACACAGGGTCATGGGGGTCTGGT